ATTCCATGCCCCTCCCCTCCTTTTCCCTTACATGTAAGAAACATGTATTCACCTGGTCATATGACACGATATACTGTGGTGTAAGCTTATACATGGCCGCACACACGATTAGCTGTAGAAAAGAACAAAAGATGTCAATATACAACTTACGGTATACACTGTAGTGCCGAAATCGGTGGCTGTCGAGACCAGAACAGATTTAAAACATGAAGAAGTGTAAGAAGAAGTAAAAGCTAATTGGATACACATTTTGTTACATGCGTGTGCAAACAACAAAGTTCAAAGAAGACTGAAGGAAAAAACATAGTAACAACACTCTCAAATTTCAACAGAATATCGAAGGGAGAGGCTTACGGTAAGTTCGTAACCTAGGTCGTCTGGATAAAACTACAATCAAACTTCTTTAAGAGTGTGTCAATGAGAAAACCAGGCAGAACCAGCAGGAGGTTATATTTTTACCTACCTTTTTGTCTCAGTCATTTTCTCACCAAACCCAACAATTGTGCCAAGTTTGAGCGAAATTGGTGTTTTGAGCTGTAGCACCTCCTGCCTGGTTTTTTCATGGACACACTCTTAATACAGTCACTAAAGGGAGAAAGCTGTATGTCCGTATTATAGAGGTACACGTAGAGACTGTATGAATTCTGTATTTTATTTTATTATTATTATCATTATAATTGTTTTTTTTTTTGNGGGGAGGGGAACCAAGTGGCTAAAAGTTGTATACAGCTGCTCGTATTGTGGAGGTGTTCGTAAGGCGAGGTGTCGACTGTCGTTTGGGAAGATTCTCTGGTGAAATCATTTCCTTATTATTTTCAGGTACTTGTAACTTAAGCTTACCGGAACTGAGTGGTGCTTTGCAGCAAGTGCGAGAGCATGGGAACCAACGATGGAACGTAACCTGTTATAATAAGCAAATAGATAAGTTTCTAAAGAAACTCTCGCTGCCTCGGCAAGCAAGTGTAACACTTAGCTTATTTATCAACTTGAGATTGATAACAGCAAATTAAACGTCAGCAGCAAATGCAGCTGTTACGTGTTAGATTGTGTCGAGAACAATACCACTACAGATCGTCAACGGACTCATTTACTTTTGGTTTGTTTCAAATGAAATAGAATCAGCAGTGGTTCATTCCACTTACCCGCCATCTGCCATTACAGCGTGAGTGCCAATTATAACCTGAAGACAAGAAAAAAAAAAGTAAAATAAAGCTGCAAAGATTTCTTATCTCGCATTTGGTTTTAAATCGTTTCGCCGGTCTCTCAAGTTCACCCTGGACAAATGGGAATTGTACCCCCAGTGTCAACTGAGTTTTTTCAACCTAGTCTTTCTCCAAATTGTGAACGAATTNATAATGGCTTCATCGTTTTCACTACAATTCCCTTTTGACTCGCTGGATCTGCTGTCAATGGCTTGATTTTTGTTATTCTTCATTTGGATTTCTTCATAGCTTCTCCCAAGACATCGGGCACAGCTCTAAACTGGGTTTGAGGTAACCATCTTCAATTGCTGTTAGTTTCAAACTAATCGGTTGCTTTCTTCTTCGAGGGCATGTGGAAGACGAGTTGGGAGAAAAACAGCAAAATAATCATCAAACTCGCTATCTTTCCATAATTTTATTAAAGCAGCAAACACCTCCTTTGAAGTGAAATGACAGCGAAGACAAATTATAGTCAAGAAAATCTTATCTAAGACTGCGAAAACTAAATGCAACCTGAAGATGAAACTTAGGCCACTTAACGTTCAAACTAATCGCTAGATTACAGTAATACAACCAAAATTTAAACTTCGAACATGATTACAAAGTATCCTTCAAGGTCATAAAACAACGGCCTATTTTTGCATGTCAAATTTTCTTGTCTTACGGCAAAACTTGAAACAAGGAAAATCGAACAGACCAGGGAAATTTCTCCCACCACGGTACATTCTTATCATACACATTATACTGACCAAGTCATAAACTAGACAAACTAAGCGAGAAACTGAGAAGTCAATTCTAATTATATGGGCGCTAGCTAGAGAAAAGTGTTTCCGTTTTTTAATGACGGTGACCAATATTGTAAATATAGCCCCCCTGTGAAAAAAAAAATCTTGTATAGTAGAATTTCCCCATACTGACAATTCTGCAATAGGGATAGGCGATTTTAACTTTGATAATTAAGCGGCTTTATGGAACAATTACTACTGTTTAATAGTTGTTTATGATTCGAGAGGGAGTCGAGTTAAGCAGCATAAAAAACGGATCACTATACAGCCACAAGAACCCTCTGAAATGAAGTGATCGTCATTTCATACTGATAACTTTCTACAATATGGTCGGGTATTTTATACGGACACTTTCACCGGACACTTTAACCGTAAACCTAACAAAAAATCTTAGCGTCGACTGAAATTGTGAACCAATTTCAGGCTGGTTCAGTTACTAAACGTAAACCGTAAACCCAACAAAACATCTTAATGTCACCTGGAATTGTGAACCAATTCCATGCTGGTTAGGTTTCTACGATTATAAATGATTATACACCAAATAACTGGTCCCTCACTAAACATATGAAAAAGAACCTATACAAAAATCTTAAAAGAATTCGTTTTCTTTCCGAGAGCGCCACCCGGGGAGCGCCAGGGAGAGGGCCAGGGGAGAGCCCCCTTAAATGTATTGTTGTTCTTCCGTCTCGCACCCGAGCTTTTCTGCGTGCTTTCTGAAAGGAAACGACTTCTAATTTAATGAAGCAGGCTAATCATTAAGTGTCATGCTATATAGCAAAAACTAGACAAAGAAAACAAAAAAAACTAGACAAAGAAAAGCAAGGTGCATTGTATTCTGCGTGAATTACGACTTGATTCCCGAGCAGGATATTCAGTTTAATCAAGTATAAAGCAGTTAATCTAATAACAACGACGAGTCAACTACAGCAAATGTGAAAAGAAACTTCAGAATGAGAAATAGCAGTTTTAGTTACAGTAGTAACCGCAGCAAACAAAAGCCCACTGCCTATGATCAATACTACAAGTGACGTCTAAACTTTGAGCAACCGAGTCACTGTGTAGTCTAGCCCTATTATTTGATTGGTCTCCTCTAAATATGGTACCATGTAGTCCTGGACAGTCCACTAGCCACGCACACGATTCACCTTCTACTCTGCATTTTGTCTCATAGCGAGGGAAGGGATTGCCTGGACAGTTGTTGACTGCATCAAGTAGACTGTAGGCATCGTGACATTGCTCCCGTATTCCACTTTGGCGAGTTCGTCCTTTGAGTGAATAACAGAGAAGAGAGGTTGAAAAGAGCCACGTGGATAAGGGAGATCAAATATAACAGTAAGGACTTGAACAGGTAGATATAATAAGGCCAGAATAACACTTGAGAACTTCTGCAACTGTCTACCGTATTTATATATTTGTAAAACCATTAACTTTAACCTAACATAACCCTGAACCATAGCTCCAACGATAATTACATGTAAAACCAGTTCAGCTGGTCCGATGCGGAGACAGAAAAATATTGTTTAGTGAACTGTTTCCGATACAGCAACATTTTTATGAACGTACATGTGTTCAAATCTTAAAAAAAACTGAAGATGAATCAGAATAAAAAAAAAAGATACAAGCACTTTAGACACTTCTTAATCTGTAGTTACGGATGAAATGTGTCTGAGTAGCCCTGTTGGAATTTAAAAGAGTTTCCTTTCTCAAACAGGCATACCAGGTTTAAGCTATATATTTTAGTTGCAGGCTTAGGGTCAGGTTGTAGAGTGAAAAACTGTGACCGAGTTCTTGAAAATGCTCTCCCGACTGAGGTAATTGTTGACTTTTTCCACACACATCGCGCGTGTGTCACCGTCAGGACTATGGTGGCGAAAGTATAGGAAAATAAAGAACGGCTAAAAACTAATCAGATTGCAGGAAAACAAAGATAATTAATCTGATAAAGCAGAAAAAATATTACTCGTTATACAGTACTGTGCCAGTCGCACAGTTCGTATTTGTTTAGATAAACTGAGCTCTGTTGAGTTAACGAATGAAAAAAGAATCATTGGTGCACATGGCGTAAGGGTGAAGAGCTTGAAACCAAACTGACAAAGACTAAAAAAGAATGTACGTGTTTCAGAACATTTACTTTCATGGGGATTCCTTTTTGTTACTTCAATCCGTCCACTCGGTAATTGTGCCACTTGGAAGATTCGAGACCTTGAACAAAGACTCACAGTGCCGTTACTTAGCATAGAACGGTCTGTAACCTCTTTATCGACCATTAGTGTTTCTTTCTGCGTTGTCACGACATTATTACTGGCAACCTGGAAGACAACCACAAAACAAACTTCATTGGCGACTTATAAATCAACCACGGATCGAGAAGAAAAGAATGCCTTGATCATACCTTTTAATTGTAAACGTGTTTTTTTGTTTGTTCGTTTGTTTGTTTGTTTTTTAAGGATGCTAATTTTAGCAGAAGAAATGCGTGTATGGTATAGGAGAATCTTTGTTTAAAATATTTGCCTCATTACCATAAGCGATACAGTTTCTGATGGAGCTACAAAGAGATTTATACTGAATATTGAAAGGGCACAGCACGATTAACTGTCCCAAGGAATTTGAGCGCGAATACTTCTTGTGCGACGAGAGTTTAAAAGCTCAAAATTTTACAAAGAATGTATTAGCTCATTAGCGCTTTTGCCACAAAGAAATTTTGATGTTTTTGAAAGCCAATTTCTCCTCGAATATTACACCCAAAGAGCCAAAAATTTCACCACTTACTAAGTTTTACAAGCTCTTTAAGTTTTTCTAGTAAAATCGCGTCTAGCATGATGCCTTCTATGCGCAAAGCCGTATGTTAATGAGGAAAAATGTAAACAATGACGTCAGCAACGATTCGCCCGTATCTTTTCAAATGCAAATTTTAATGATATTTCCTTGCATGAGTCTCCTAGTTCCAGTCCAATACCGAGCATACGAGTATGGTCTCTTGTGTGTTGTTGTTTTTCAGTGTGTGGTTGTTGGTCGGTAAGTCACTTTGACCGGAATATATACATTGCAAAGGCTCCTTTTGAGTTGAAGAAATGAGTGCGAATATTTATCACTTGTAACGTTTAGGATGACTAGCCATTGCATAACTTGGACTTAGGGTTAGTTAATCAAAGAGGTCCCATCTAAATACAGTACCGGGATCTGGCACTGATTCTGTCAGGAGATTACGAGAAAGGCTGAAGGGAAGGGTGAAAAGTCAATCATTAATGATTGTTATTAGTTATTTTTGAAATGTCTTTCTTAGACGTAATACGGAGAATAAAGAATTACATTATAATTCAAAAATAACAAATACTCACATCCTGTAGATTCCTCACTAGATTCTTTGGTGTGGGCTGATCTCGTGCCAGTGGAAGTAGGAAGCAGACGCTCTTGAGCGGAAAATGAATAACTGTAGCATTCTGCGGAGAAGGAACCACAATTCGTCGATAAAAATTCACATTACGTGAGAATTTAAAGAGAAAACTTACAGATCTTCAATCGTTCATTAAGGTGCAAAAGATTGAAATGAAACAGCTATAGTTAACGACAAACTTTTATAAATAGCCTAAATTTCTAAAAACGGATCATTCGTGACGTATGCGGAAAGATTAAGGGGAGGTGCAGAGCTGGTCTCCTTCGTAGCCTTCACCTGGGTCGTAACGCAACGCTTCTCGCTACGAGAAAGGAGAAGAGTTGCGTGACGACCCAAATTGTAGCTGTAAAGGAGACTGGTGAAGAGCGAAAAGAAAAGAAATTAAAATTAGTCTCCAACAACTGTAGGATCTGAACTTATGTCTTCTGCATTTTGGTGCAAAAGAACGAACTCGTATTTTTAAAACGTACCTTTTTAAAGTCAAACAAGATATCAGACTTTTCAACGTCGTTGTGGGTTGGAACTTTAAACAGTTCTGTTTGTTGGTTTTTATCAATTGTAACCGTCTCGTTGAACTCTGTTCCAGACTCGTGAATACGGAGACGAAATTCCTCAACATCTGCTACCTAGTGAGATATAAAACGTTATTTACAATACAATGATTACACAGAAGAAAACAAAGCCAATAGCTTTAGAGAAATCGACACAAACTTGGAAACTCCAAACAACAAGCGGTTCTTGTTCAAGTCGTGAAGGTCAAGATTCAAGTGGTTCAAAAAATATGGCTTGCGATTGGTACAATCGACTGATTCAATTGATGAATGTGGTACTTTTCAGTGGAGTAAAGTAGTGTCCTTCAACTGCAAATGGTGAGATCTCGGCATCCATTAAGTAACACCCGATCGACTCCTACGAATTGTACTGCGTCTTAGTTAGTAAGGGGCCTTGACAACTCGTGCGAGTGAGCGAGCCGTACAAGTCGTGCAACTGGTGAAGCTGCATCCATTATAGCAACTGAGATTTACACCGTGAAAAATAGCGAATTACTTGTTCAGGAAAAAAAAAAAACTACGCTTGCAAACAAAACAAAAAGAACCCGTGCAAAATATTCCTCGTTCTATAAGCGTGCCTGCGCAGGCAAGTGATACGTTTAAGCCAGACGCTCATGGAAACAAATTAAACGAATCAAACTCAGGACACACGCAGAAAAGACAAAATAGTGCGGGCAAACAAAGCAGGAACAACCCGTACAACAACCCTCCTAAATCGTCTTCTCACCTTGATGACTGGTGAGGCGTCAAGTGGATTTAACATGAGACTCATCATCAACAATATGGCAAACACTGGAGAACTCATCCTGTAAAATGTTTAAAACAAGTGCACGTAAAAACTAGAGTGAATATTTTGCACATGCATGGCTTTAGAATTTGAGATACACTGTAATAGAATTTAACTGCACTCACTCTTGTTGGTTGATAAGTAGCTAGGTCACTGGTAACTTCTTGTCATTAACGTGTCACCGCTTCTAGGTAACTGTATTTACTGGGTAAAAAGGTTCACTTTTATATCTTCAACATCTGCCTTATGCGTGAAGGAATGTTGCATCCGTACTTCCTAGTAGTGATCAAACAAGGTTCGTATTTTTCATTATTTAACAATGCAAAAGTCAATTGAGAAGAATTATAATGATCGGAAGTAATTTTGCATCCTTAAATACATTTTACTTCCTGATTGATGAAGGCCCCGTCCACATGCACGTATCCAGATATTTTTGAATCCGAAACTTTGTCTTTCCGGATTCAAAAATATCCCCGTCCACACGTAACGTATTCAAATCTTATTCACCTGCCCACACGCATCCGATGGTATCCGGATTCACTCTAGAGAAACTAGGCCTACATGTTGTGCCGCCATATTGGTTTATTGTTCGGTGAGAGAATCTCCCACTGAGCGTATTTTGTGTTTCTGCGACACGTCTCTCACGTTTCGACAATTTATGATTAAATTATATTGTTGTATCACTACTTCCCTAACAGCACAAGACAAGGTCCTTACTACTTCAGCAACAAGGTGAAGCTAGTTCAAAGTATGATGTGGCTTTTAAATATGAGATAAGTGATTTGCACTTAATTCAAATTTATACCTCAATCTTCTCTGGCAGTAACCCAGACTTATTGGAAATTAGCGCTCGCCCGCTCGCGAGTTCGATAGTGAGAGCTGTTCGTTTAGCTTTTTTCAGTAACACTACAAAAATGTTGAGAAATTTCCAAGGAGTGTGAAAAATTGATGATAAAAGCAAGGGTAAAACAGTAAAACCGGTCTGCGATCTTAAGAAGGCGTCTCGTAAATTGACCAGAACAAGATACAAGCTCAAGCTGGGCTTCCGTGATAATGAGATACCGAAAAAATGTTCAAATACGAGGACGGTTACTCTCTGAATTGTACATGAGGTCTAATAACTAACCAATCACAGAAATGACAAATTTCGAGTTTTAAAAACTTTTTAGCAACTTTTTTGAGCGAGAAGCTCAATACTATTTTCCACTAGTTTTATAAACAGTGAAAAAAGATACTGGATGAAAGCCATTACAGCTCACTTGATTGACGTGCAAAGGCATAGGCGGTCAATTACAGGTATCCATTTTTTTTTTTTTTAAGAAAACCGGAGAAATTATAATGATCGGAAGTAATTTTGCATCCTTAACTTTTACATTTTCGAAATTGAACCTACATGCCTCTGTTGATTGATATAGCTTGAAACAGATATCCACTTTTATAATGTATTCAAGAACTACTAGAACTAGGGAAGTTCTGTGGATTCCTTTACTTCCTTCATAGGATAAAACAATATCTTTCTATTTA